TCCTAGAAAACATGTACAGACAAATAAAATACTTCTGAAAAACTACTGGGTCAAAGAATTCACAGAAGAGATAAAAATGTATCTAGAAACTAATGAAAATGAAGAGATAAGGTATCAGGTTGAGATACTCTTAAAGCACTGTTACAAAAAAAAGTTCATGGCAACACTAGCCCACATTAAAACAAACAAACAAGCAAAAAAACCACCAAATAAAATCTCAAGTTAATATTTTAGTTCTACAGCTGCAGGCGCTAGAAACAGAACAAAAGTTTCCAAAAATCAGTGGAAGGAAAGAAATAAGCAGAAATAAATGAAATAGAAATCAAAAGATAGTCCAATGATTCAGTGAAAACAAAAATTGGTTCCTTGAAAAAATAAAATTGAAATATAAATAAATAAAATTGATAGACCACTATACCTAGGTTGATGAAGGAAGGAGTAAAGAAGGTCCAAATCAGTGGAAATAGAAATGAAAGAGGTAAACATTACAACAGATACTGCAGAAATATATAGGATTGTCAGTCCCTTTTACAGCTGTCTGAATGCAAGCAAACTGGTCAGCCTAGAAGAAATGGACAAATTTTTAGACTCATGCAACCTCCAAAGATTGAATCAAGATGAAATACTCAGCTTAAACAGTTTAATCAGAACTACTCAAACTGACAGAGTAATAAAAAGTGTCCCTTAGAACAAAAGCCTACGACTCCATCACTTCTCCAGTAAATTCTAACAGCACTCCAAAGAAAAACCCTACTACCTATCCTACTCAACAACATAGATGAGGAAGAAAATGTCTCATATTCTGTGAGGCCAATGTCACGGTGATTCCAAAACCAAGGGGAGAGAGGGAGAAAAAACAGAGAGAGAGAGAGAGAGAGAGTGAGAGAGAGAGAGAGAACACTATAGACAAATGTACATAGATGCAAAAATCTTCAACAAACCAAATACAGCAACATATTAAGAAAATCATGCACCATGAGCAGGTAAGCTTTATCCCAGGGATGCATGGCTGGTTCAATGTATGCAAATCAATCACTGCCATTCATTAGGTCAATAAAAGAAGCCACATGCTCATAGATGCTGAAAAAGCATTGAACAAGATCCATTTATGATAAACACACTGAACCAAATGGGAATAAATGGAACTTCATGAGACATTACAAAAGCCAGTATAGCAAAACCAACTCAAAATGGATTAATGATCTGAATGTAAGAACCAAAACTGACACAAGCTTCTATTGACTGACAACTTCTGGATAGAAAAGGAAAAGCTCTGAAAAATCAGAATTTCCATTGCTAACTTATGTTATGACATCCCTTTTTTATATAATCATAATATCAAAAATATTCTGAGCAACAGTTTACAACTGGATTGCTTTAGCCTCATAAGGCAGCTGCCTGGTCCTGGCAAGCTGCCCCATGGTGGGAAATTCCTCTGTCTCCTGAGAAAAAACGCAAGCCCCAGGAGAAATAAGACTCTAGGGCATAAGAACTCCTGGAAGCTTCCTTGGTTTCTTTAAATAAAAAGCAAATCTCAGATAAGACTTCCAGGGCATAAGGATTCATGGACAATTTTTTTTTTTAAAGATTTATTTATTTGTGCATACAGAACTGGGGTACAGGCCAGAGGCTCAGGGGTGGTGAGAGGCTTCACCAGAGACAGAGTGGGGAGCAGAACAGACAGATCGATGAAGTACACTGCTGAGGGGAGCAGCGTGCAGGTCAGGAGATGTCTGTCACGCCATGTGGTCACCTCTGGGGCAGGCGGGAATCAAACTCATGAGGAAGTGGCTTTAGCTTCTCAGTGCTGTGCTTTAATCCGCTGCAGCACCAGGGAGGGCTGGACTCATGGACAATTTTTAACCTTGTTTACACAGGTGTTGCTTAGTACACAACTGTACAACTTTCTCTTAATTTACTCCTTTTTAAAACAAGCACTAACTATTCTCTGGTAGCCTTAAATTAACCATTAGCTTTTCTTTGGACAGTCACTGATAATACTGCTAACACAATTTATTACTTCCCTAAAACACATAATAACCTTTTACTAATAAGTTCATCCTTTCCCAGACCCCTCCTCCCTTGAGTTATAGCTAAACATCTGTATACATGACAATTATCACAAAAATGTATAATCTAGTATACCATAAAATGTTAAGAAAAAATTGCTTTGTTCCCCCTGTCCTTGAGAACGTTTATGACTATTTATGGTCATCTCTCATTAACTTACCCTATGCATTATTGCAATTAACTACTTGTTACACAGTATAAATAAAGACCTGCTGAGGGAATGAGCAGGAAGACTTGCACCCAACTCTGACTCCCATGTCTTCCTCGCACCCGCTCCCCTCTCTCCTTTTGGAATTTCCGCTTGCTGAAGCCTTCCCACCTTAGGGCCCTGCCTGTCTCGCCTCTGATATCTCGATCATTGGGGCTGTTCCCTAACACAAAACCATAAATTATTTGAAAAAAAACAAAAGGGACATAATATAGGGCATCCACTACAAAGATATATTTGGGGACATAATCACAACAGCAAAGGAAACAAGAGCAAAATAAATAGGTGGGGCTACTTTAAACCTAAAATCTTTTGTTTCTTAAAAGAAACTATAACAAAAAAATACATTTTTTTTCAGAATAGAAATATATATATATATATATATGTATGTATCTCACACATCAGGCAAGGCACTAATCTCCAAAATTCACAGTTTTTATATAAGCCAATAATAACAAAAAATGCTAATCAAAAAAGTAGACAAAAACTTAAACATTTATCTACAGACATAGAAATGGTTTACAGACATAAGAAAAGTTCTTCAGCACAGTTATTATAAAGGAAATGAAAATCAGAACCTCAGTATCACCTCACCCCTGTGAGAAAGGTCTACATGAAAAATAATGAAGTCAATAAATATTGTTGTGGTTGCATTAAAAAAAGAACTGTTACCCATTGCTGGTGGGAATGCAAATTTGAGCAGCTGAGAAAATAGTATGGAGATTTCTTAAGAAAATAAAAATGGATATTCTATGTGATCCAGTAATACCTTTATTGGGCATTTGTCCAAAAATATGAAAAAATCTAAAATAAAAATGTTTATGTACACCTATGTTTGTAACAGTAATATACACAATTGCTAAGTAATGTAACAAGTGCAATTGCCTTTCATCAGACGAATGTGTAAAGAATTTGTAGAATATAAATAGTAAAATACTACACAGCCTTTGACAAAAGATAAAATAGTGGCATTGGGGAAAAAAATGGATGGGCCTTTAGGTGATTATTTTAAGTGAAATAAGTCAGAAAGTTAAAGATAGATATTGGGTGGTCTCAGTCGTCTGTAGAATATCAATAACCAAAAAGTATACACAATCAAAATAGAACAGGAGTAAATCTTGGACTCAGTGAAAGAAATTACTGTATAGCATGGAACAGGGGAGATGGAGGAAGATGTGAGGAGGTAGGCATACTGGGTATTTGCATGGGTAGTTTGGTGGAGTGTGAGTGGAACATGTGTACATGTGCAAGAGCAAAAGTGTAAACCTCAAAAGAAATTGTAAAATAGGTAAATTTTAAAATAAAAAAAATACACATGAGATTCTAGAAACTTTTAGAGGTAGGCTTCATGAACTGGTGATTGAGTAGACAAAGGTGAACTCAGGAGAACGAGGAGTTGATGTAAATTCCTAATTTCTGCTAGGGAGCCTTGCAGGGTAGGGGAATCACTATTAAATTCATGCTTCTGGACAAAGGACTAGATCTGAGTTTCTTTTGCACCATGATTGGGATTGAGAAATGTTAGTGCCTGTTGGTTTTGAACTTCAGAGGAGAGCTGAGTAGTTAACAGAAATTTGGAAATTGTCAATGTTCAGGTAGTAATTGAGGCAAAAAACAAGAACACCCACCTCTCATGTAAACACAGGAAAATTGAGGACCTCTACTATGGAAAAGATGAGTGAGAAAGTGTCTATAAGTGGAACAGAGCTGGTTGGAAAATCAATGTCGCACCAGAGAAAGGGAGCTCGAGGAGGAAACACTGTGGTTTCCTCACCATTGAGGAGCCCAAATTGACCCAGCATGTGTTTGGCACAGAGCAGGATCTTAGTACATGGATATTCCTCTCTTTGTCTCACTATGTCTCTCTCTGTGTTCTTCTGTCTCTGTCTCTATCTCTGTCCAGAAATGAGAACATTATCTATGTACCCAGAATGTACATTGTGACTCTTCTTATTTCTCATTTCTCAGCAGAGTTTCAAGTTTCACTGGGTTTGGAATACTGGCATCATATATTGGTTTCTTCTTGGAATAAGAACATACTGGTTACTTCCACAGCAATTTTAACTTCAGACAAAGATGAGGTTATAAAGTCAGAGGTTAGGAGTCAAAGTAATATTTGGATTATGAAGATCCTAGTAGAATAGCATAAACAATTTTTCTCTCACTGGTGACTTTTTACTTAATTCCTTAATGGTAAATTTTGCCATGGGTTCTCCATACCAAAGTCCCAACCAGTGTGACCAGTGGTAAGCAATTAATCACTGGGTATGAATCTTTGTTAGAAATGAAATGGAATGGGGTCCCTCTCATCTCTTTTACATTTGAATGAATACCTAAATGGAGAAAGGCATTGAGATAAGTAGTGGATTTTTAGCAGTTTCATATAGATCTGATTTATGAATTGCTTTTAGGTAGTTTTCTCTGATGGTCAAGGGAATAAAACTTCCCCTCCCTTGCATGAAAAATCTTCTTCTTGAAAATGAAAAAAAGGGGGGGCATGATTCTTATTCCTTAAATTTAATTTTTATTATCCAAAGTCAAATTGTCTTATCAAGTAAAAAAAATAACATCACTTGCTATATTTTGGTTATTTTCACTTGTTGGTTGTCCAAGTTAGATATCTCAGTGGGGGTGGGGGCACAGCATTCTCCAGATGGGTAATGTCACTGATTTTGTTTGCTTGGGATACACGCTGAGTTAACCTCATTGGACTTTTCCCCAGGAATTGATGCGCATTCACGCGGTGGGTCATTATGCTGCTGCACCTGTGTAGTGTAAAGGTCAGTGTGTTTTTCTGATTATAAGAACCCATCCATGTCATTCCATTATAAACCCACTCCACTCATAATGGAATGTGCCTCCAGCCCAGAGCCCATGGTGGTTGCCCAGCCCAGAAATTTTCTCAAGTGCAGCCCTAACATGTGAGATCCATCAGTGTCCCTCCCCATCTCCTGCATCCACCCAATTTGACTACTCCATTTTGAGATGATTTTATTTGCATGTCAAGTTCCTCTCGTGTGATGTGAACATACAGTTGTCACAGTGAATTTGTACCTGGAAATAAATCTCTATAATGATCTTTCCACAATGACAATGGGGGTTCTGACAATGTGGGAGATAACCCTATAGTTGACACAGAGCATGGGGATTCTCTTGGAGGACAGAGCAACAACTTCTGCTGACTCATAGTCAGAGTGGTGTCCAGTTTTTCAGAGGTGTCCTCTTGCTACTGGGTGGCTTGCCCAGGAAGGGCTTTCCCCCAACTCCCTTTGTCTAAATCTCCTTCTTCCTTCATTTCACAGCTTTTCAGTTTTGGGGTGGCAGCCATGGTTTAAAATAAGCACAGCTTATATTAATTGGACAGTAAGCATTCCAATTTGTGTTGAATTCTTTTTCTGTGTGATTTCCTCTCCATCACAAGTAGTAAAGAAGTAGGACTAACCATCATTTCTGTCTTAGGTATAAAGGAATTGGGCCATTAGATGACCGAGTCACAGCTCTGGAGTGACTCATGGGTTAGTTGGAAGCAGGAATTTAAATGAGGCTACCTATCTTGACTTTGCCCATGGTCCATGATACATGCAATATGCAGTCATTTCTTAAATGAGGCTCTGATTTAAAAAATAAAAACTGAGATCTGCGTAGCACTTTGAGAATTGCTAACCATGCCCACATAGGCATTCAACTAGTAGTTGAAAGCACCCTGTAGTAAGATGAATGAAGTGTGGGATGTCCTACGGGCAATTGGGTATTCATCAGTTAAAAGGAAGGTGAGCAGTCCTCAAACTCAGGTTTTGTCTTCCACCTCAGGGTATTGCTTCCAGCTCATCCAAAGGGGAGATTTCTTAATTTGTTTAGAGTAACACACCTAGATTGAGTACTTTATGTGTTGTTTACAGGAAACGTTAAATTAGTGCTTACTCATGTGCTACCCAATTCCCAGGGACAGTCACAGCACAATAACTTTAAATGTCCTTTTTCATATTGTGTGCTCTGGTGTGTTATACGGTCACAGTCACCTCCCATCTCCTAGGTCAGCAGAGGCTTTATTTCTTTAAATTCACTCATTTACTCCTAGTTTTCTCCAGTTGGAGAGGAATACTTTTGCTAAGGGAGTGTTTCCCTCAATACAATATTCTTATCTATCTACATTCTCCTGGGTCCTCTGACTTTTCTCTTTGCCTGCAAAGATCTGGTGAATTGTGTTTTTTTTGCTTGTTTGTTTTTAATACTAAGTAGTTCCTTTTGGGTGCATTTAACATTCCCAGGAAATCTCCTTTTTCTAGACTAGTATCCTTTTTCCAGACTAGCTTCCTTAGAAAGTTAGGACCCTCCTATTCTGAGAATCTTAGCTCATATGTATCCTCAGACACCAGCTTTATCTTGAAATAAAGCTTTTGGGATATAATAGCAAAGCTTAACATACATACAGAAAATCTTAGGAGGTTTTACTCAGTGATTGATAATCAAACAGTCTCCTTTCACATTTATGTGAAAGGGGAACTCCCTGATTAACAGGTGGGAGAGAACTGAGGTCAAGACCCAGATTCCTGAAGGACATAGTTGGGGAAACATGAGCATGACCATGTGATCACAGTGAGCCTGGAGGGGAAGAATGCTGTAACATTATTCCCAGTCTCTATGAACAGTTAGTACAAGGAGATTGTCTTAAACTCTGAACAATAAAAAAATCCTGTGACCCTATAATTTTTGTGTTATTTGCTAAAATATTCAATATTATCCACAAGGTTCCTTCATTTTTTGCAATATTTTCTAAGAAGACTACTCTATTCCAGAATGAGTCACAAATTAGCTAGCTGGACATTCCTTGTGGCCCTTCTTGTTTCAGCTACTTCAACCAATGTTGGCCTAGAATCTCTCCCTTAACTTACACAGAGCACATCCAAAGGTATATAACCATATAACCATTTGGCTGTAAGCCCTTTAATCAGTGTTTAAGTGAATGTCTTACTTATTGAATATCTTCCTCATTGTCTGGATTATTTATTAGTAGTGCTGGATTATTAATACCAGTATTGATATCTGGAGTTGACATAGAGATCATAGAATTGATCATTTAATATAAATATACTTTTCATATTCTGGCATGATCCTTGGCAAAACTAATGCTCATGTCAGGAAGAAGGGGGATTTTATGCTAAAGCCAGTCATAATTTTATTTAAGATGTATTTGTTTATGCATACAGAACTGGGGTACATACCAGAGGTGCAGGGGTTGTGAGAGGATTCACCAGAGACAGAGTGGGGAGCAGAATAGGCCAGCTGACAAAGTACACTGCTCAGGGGAGCAGTGGGC